ACATTTCTTTTGTAACAGATATTTCGCCAGATTTTTATTTTTCTATATATATATATATATATATATATATATATATATATATATATATATATATATATACACATATATATAGTTTTATCTTAATTCGTTTGAACGTTTGAAGACATAAAATACATTCTTTGTCATTCCTCAGTTTTTTTTTTCCTCACATGTTCTTTACAAAGTTATAACAGTCACATGTTATACAAAGCTATAAACTAAATCTCCAGAGAAGCACACAGTCTTTGCAAGCTTTGGGATTACAAAAGCTTCTGTGAATTGTACACACACTCATTCAAACAGGAAAAAAAACACACAAAACACAACCCTCTAATTTAGTCCCTGCTGACTTGTTTGACTTTTGAAGTATTTGATTGCCTCTAGTCTATGAGCTGGTAAACATTTAAATTACCCCCTGAGGCTCAACACAGGGTGTCAGATCAGAACGACAACAAAATGTATCAGATAATTTGTGTCAGCTGCATTCGATCAACAGAAAACAAATATCTAAAGAGATTTAAAAATTGTGACGCTTCATTTTTAGCCAATCCTGTTTATCTAAACTGCTTTGTAATAAGTAATACATTTGTATTTGCATTATACTGTATTTGTATTTTAGCACACAAGACATTCATGAGTTTAATCTATAAATCTTTTAAAGAGATGTTTATAAATACCAAACACATAAACATGTGACACCCAGCTTTCTCTATGCTTAATTTCTATATTAAATCAGGTGATTTATAGCTGAACAGTATTCCCAAAGATCCTGAAGACTGGATCACAGACTCGCTTCAGGAGGGAACGGTTTCATTGCAGGATTCATCACTGTAGAGCTCATTATTTGTTCAATGGTGTATGATAACTAAATTGACTGTGCTACCCCCCTGAGTAAGATTGTAAGTGATATTTTTATGGATTGGAGGTGAGAAATGTGACTTTTAAAGCCACAAATATCTCATCACTTGGACTCATATTGGAGCCTAAACACATTAAGATTTTTTTTTTAAAGAAGAAATTAAAAGTTCTTATCTCTTTAAAGGAAAAAAAAATTCATGCAACCACATTCTGCTTATTTGCAGGGTCTTGCAAATACATTCATACCCACATATTCCTATTTTTTCACATCATAACAATAAATCATAATTGTCATTAGGATTCCATGTAATAGAACACAAAGGGAAGGGAAAGGAGACATTAAGTAGCACTTCATAATTGTAGATAGTGGGGTGCTGGAATGTCTCATACAATTCAAATTAAATTCATTGAAGTTTGTCGTTATAGCGTTAGTAAAGGTAAAATTGAGGATGTCAAAATTTCTCTTCTACATTACACAACAAACAGCATTTAGCGATCATAAACAGATGGAGGATGCCGTTTAATAGAAAGATTGAAAAACTTACCATATTGAATGACTGTGGCAGAAATCCAGGGCAGACATAATTTGTCTGAAGAATTTTCTGGCCTCTTTTGGTGTTAACCGGCCTTTCTTCACCAAGTAGTCAAACAGTTCACCACCAGACACGTGTTCTAGCACAAGGTACCTGAGAAAGACAGAGAATTGAGAGAGACATCTAAAGATAAAAAAGCTTCAGAAGAGCTGAAAGAGAAACTCAGTTACAAGTATCTTATATCTCATAATAAAGTCCCCTGACAGAGCCATGAAGAAAATAAATCCAAAGACCTTACGTTACTGTCAGAACTGATGTAAAAGTGGTTTTTTTTTTTTTTTTTTTTTTTTTTTGCAGCCTGACGTTCTAAATATGTGGGGAATTCTGATTCTTTGACATTCTGTGTTACACAAACACGGTGCAATCATATGAATTTAAAAAAAGGAAAGCCAACATATCCGTGCCATATTGTTTTTTTTTTTCAAAGAGTTGCTGCTGAGGTAGCCTTCAAGTCTGTGTGGTCAGACTTTTACAGAGCCAGTCTGTCATCCTGAATATATAGCTCGGCCATGGTCTGCAGCTCTGAGGGGACAGGATGAAGATAAATCTCCACTGACCCAAGAACAAAGCTTCATCTCCGGGTTGAAATCCAGCTGGCCCCTGCTCTGCTCTTATGTCTCGCATAAAAAGTGCTTTATTCATAACAAGCACAAGTTGAAATACAAAAAGGCTTTTTTTTTTTTCTTTAACTATCTACTTGGAAAAAAATATGAGGTGCACATCCATCATTTCAGTTTCACTGATTACCATATGGTGCTGCAGACTGTACTGGCCACCAAGCATGGTCTCCCTTTAGCCAAAAGTCTGGCTGCAGTAAATTCTCAGGAACTACAGCACATATGCCACTTACTTCTAAACATGTGAAACAGGATACATGTAAACATGAAAAATATAGACTAACCTAAGAAGCAGGGAGAATTGACAAGGATGTGTATATTGGGTTTAAAATTGAATAAAGCACTACAGTTTTTTCCCCCTGATCCAACAATTGTTTAAGAACACTGTAGTCGAGGCACGTTAATTTACTTTTATACCAGTGAGATTGTTTTGGGTGTAAATATTAAGTTTATTTCTTAGCCAAAAGAAACTCAAGATGTGCATAACATGCACATTCAGGATTATGGATAAAGGCAGGTTTTCTGAAAAAAAAAAAAATAAAATAAAAAAAAAAAGAAAAAATCTAAACGTTTCTCTTTTTATTATGGGATCCACACTACAACAATGGTGATTGTTTTGTTTATACATAAAACCAGTGGAACAAAGATTTAAAAGTTGTCTGCATTTAACAGAGGTTCTGTAGACCTAAGTTACTTTGTATGATTACAGTTCTTGGACTCTATATNAGACTTTTTAGATTGACTAAGTGCTTTTATAATCAGTATTAAGAAAACTAAAACAGAAACTGGTTCTATTTTATAAGAACTCAACGACTGTTAGCAGTCTTTGTGATTTAGATAAATAAATATTTGCATTACAATTTGCATTATGCAGCTATAAATTTAACGTCAAAGTGTATTTCAAGTTTAATGGAAAAATGGAACAAAGGAAGACAAAACAAAGAAAAATATTCCTCTACTGTTTTCCCTGACTTCTGGTGCAAAGTAGATCTCTATATAACCGTTTTTGTTCATTTCTATAACCACTACATACAGACAACATATATTTTTTAAATCTCTTTGAAATGTTTTTGAACAAGGCCAAATACACATTTTCAAGGCACCACTTCCTCTGAGACACATTTTGTTAGGAGAAAACTTTCTGAAACACTGGCCATACACAGCTACTGAAGCTGTATAATCTAGATAAGACACAGGAAACAATATAAGGAAAAAAAACAAAAAAAAAAAAAACAAAACAGCATTAATTTGGAACTTTGTTCAATTCAAATGGATTATTGAACATTATTGGATTAATTAACAATTATTGATTACCTCTGCATGTCAACAACTTCTGCAGAGGCCTTTTAATGAGTCAATGATGTAGAACAGGTGTGTTTGGAGCAGTGATATCTAAATTATGCAGAACACACAGCCCTTGTGGTCCATAATTTGCCACAACCTCTTTAAGCTAAGTTTAATGAGTTGGTATTTCAATTATTGCTTCAGTTATGCAACACTTTCTAAATATTTTTTTTATTATAAATATCTTAAAAACTAATCAAAGACAAACTAAATGTAATTTTTTGAAGAGATCTCTGTTCCAGCAGGAGCTACCATACCTACAAGAATATAGCTTACCAATTCTAACTAGTTATTTCCTTAAGGGTTTGATCTTCATATTTTTTTCAATTGTACAAAGAAAGCAAATGGTTTACAAAATCTATGGCAAACTACAGGATTTGCACACAAAAAAAAATAATTGAAAGTTTCTAATTCATAATGTAAAAGGAATTTGAGGCTACCATTTTGTTACCTGAGCTCTACAGCATCAAAACGCAAATAAATAAACTGAAAACAACACGCACACACAAATCAAGGGTTCTAAGATGCACTGCAGTTTCAGACGTGAGCATTTTTCATTCTTAGAGCCATAATTTATCTCAGTATCATAATATGTTTATTCATTCAACCTATAAATAAATTATTGTTAGGTATCAAATTCTCACCACCTCCCATATACATAAACACCACATTAGTTTTAACAGCTTGTTGTAGGATTTGTGCCAGCAAAAATAATAAATCTTTAAAGCCCTGGGAGTGCTAAAACCAAACACGCTGCATGCCTATTAATTAATGGCTTTCAAGTGGTGATGATATCCGAGCAGGAATCTGAACCATGTGAAGAGCAAAATCGCATTAGCGATTCGGGTATATGTGTTGGAGTCTGATGCTTTGCGCAAATGTAAAGTAATTTGTCTTCTGTGATGCTACTGGTGACCGTCTGTCAAAAGTGATGAAGCAATGAGCAAAAAATGAGATTTTCAAAATCCAATTACTGACTTGAATTCAAATTTTCTGCATGCCATAGCCTCTGAAAAGGATGGCATGTACCGTTCAGCATGCCCAATACTGTACACGACCCATAAGCTGCAGATAAGAGGTAGCTGAATTTAGTTGACAAGCAATCCTCTGCAGATCGGAAGGTCTACTAACTGATGGGGTTGTCACTCAGTGCTGTTAAACTTAGTTAATAGATTTAGCATCTGTGTGTAAACACAGCTGCTGCAGCGGCCTCTCCATGGCAAATGTTTCTTAATGCGGTGGTGTTGACGCTGATAAGCGCATCGCAACGTTTTTATTACAGAGACTTCCCCCTTGCTATTAGCAGTCCCCTGGTGTGCGTGACCAAATAAATGCTCAATGCCAGTACTAATGGAGCATCCAAGCCCTTGAAGGCAGTCACAGTTGCCCTGAAATCATAAGATGATCTGCTGCATTAAAATTGCTACTCCTAAGAGACCACCTGAGAGAAATGATATCATTAACAGTGAATATAATGTATAAAGTTCCTTTGATTTTTTTTTTTTTATGTAAAAGTTCCATACTTTCCCAGACTAAATTTCAAGAGCAAAGGACACATAAATACTTAACTTAAATACTGCAAACATTTCTGCATTTAGATGTGCAACCTGCAACAGTCAGCAAGACCGTTGAAAAATGTGCAAACAGATGGATGGGCAGCTGAATGAATGGATAGACAAACTAATGACAGGGTGGACAGATGAACATTTCTACAGATGTTACAACTTAAATACTTTATGTAACCCGAGACTGCAATAAAGGAAAATTTGAAATAAAGAAAAGACAAATGGATGGATGGCTCCACTGACAAACTGATTTATAAATGGACAATGTTGGATAGATGCAACATTTAGATAAAGTCTGGACGTACAATATCTTTACCAAACTTGTTTTTTCCCCCCCAATGTATCCAGACTTGAGAGACACTTTAAACTTCATATTGTATCTAGTTTTCTCCAGACTTTGTAGGAACCAACTGAACAAAAATGTGTGACAACACAATTTTTTATAATTTATCAAAATAATACTACGTTTCTTGAAAGTTTTGACTGGTGAAAGAAATTGCTCATACTTACAAGTATTTTTTATTTTCATAGACGTCGTGAAGCTTTAAAACATGTGGGTGTTCTATGAGCTTCAAAATAGCTATTTCTCGCTCCACCTGCAAGAGAGAAAGAGAAAAATTCAGAGGGAAAAGAGCAAAAGAGGATTTGAACACTGAAAAATTCACACTGTTAAATTCCAATAAAAATATTAATAAACCCTCAATCCTTTTTCTTTATTTTTATAAGATGAGGTCTAGCCAGTGGGTTTACCTTGAGGTTAGCTGGGAGTCATTTGTGACGTAGATTAGGAAAACCAGGAGATAGAACAATGTAAGTCAAAAACTTATTTCTACCATTTATCTTCCAAGCACGAGTAGAAATGTGGGCAGCTTAAAAAAAAAGGGTAGAAACTAAAATGGCTTGCAAAAGTATTCGTACCTCCTTTTCGAATTACACAAGATCAACATTTTATGTGTTTTATGGTAGGGAGTAGGTATCAACACAAAGTAGTGAATAGCTGTGATGTGGAAAGGTACAATTATACATATAACATGTTTTACAAACACGTTTTGATGCAATTACAGATCATGTAACTCTTTCAGGAGGATGTATTCATCAGGTTCCTACATATGATATTTTGCCCAGTTTTTGGTACAAAAACACACAAAACTGCATTTTTGTACAATTTATCTAATAAAAACTGTACTGGTTATCTACTCAACCTGAGTTCCGGCCAGCTTTGTTAAAACAGTAGGACAGGGCTCGACATACATTCACATTTTATTTTCATGAGAAAACCCCAATAAAACTGTAGTTGTAATATTAAAAAATAAAAGACAGGTCTAATACTTGTTCAATGCATTGTTCATACTGAATTTTATTTCATATTCCAGTGGTGTTCTTTTGCTGTATAAGGGCCAGCTTGTTTAGACAGCAGCGCAGAGAGCAACCTGTCATAATCGGGTATTTCTGTCCACCAAGCCTGCAGCCTCTGGGTACAAAGGTGTGTAAAATGTCCAGACAGCTGCTGCAGTAGCTCCTTTATTCCACAAGTGTCTGACATATTGATTGTTCATATAAAGACAGAACAAGTCGGAACAAGCGAGGAGTCGACTCTAGACTTTACAACTTCTGAGCTTCTGAGAGATATTTTCAGTTCACTATTGAGAGCAGCGAGAGTCGAAATTCACCATAATAGAGCTGATCAGTTTGGACTTGTGTCAGCATCTCTAGAGATCGTTGTCAGCATGTTCAGCTGACACTGAAAATCAGCATGGGAAACCACTCTGACAGAAGCCACAGCTAATCCTCAGCAACCCTGCTCTCCTTACTCTTTCACATTTCAAATGGATTCTAACTTTTCCTGACAAAGATGGAGTTCAAAGAGCCGTGTGAATTAAAGGCTCCTCTGTCTTAACTTGATTTCATCAAAGTCAGTTTCACCATGCCTGTGACAGCCTTCACGTTGCTTTATGTCTTCCTCATAATGTTTGGGTTTCCGTGAGCATTTCTGCGGAACGAAGGCAAACTTTGATCTGTCGGCTCGCCGTGTTTCTGTTAAATTCTTATAAAGTTGTTTGCTCAGCTGGGTGTGAAATAAAGCCCTTCAAAAATAATTATTTTTTTTTTAGCAATGTCATTTACCAATAATTGCTCCTGTCAGCTCTACCTGTAATTCATCTAGATACATGATTCATAATTATCGTCTCAAAGATAACAACGCTCATCAACACACTTGAAAAAGTCACATGTCACAAAACATTACGATAAAAAGAAAATGCAGACTAATTAAACTTAATCATTTTCCAATAAATAAACATGAAACTTTTAAAGTAGCATAGAGTAGAAAGTAGCCTTTTTTTACTAGTATTAATACAACCAAGACTAACCATTTACTCTAAATAGTTATTGTGTGATGAGGTCTTCAGTATTGAATTAAAAAGTTCACAATATTTTTTTTTATTCCACAAATAGTTAACCAGTTGATGTCAGCATGTGATGTCATCTTGTTAAGTAAGTTTAAGCCATTATTATGATCACCAAATAAATGTGATCTCTGCTCGAGTCTCTTATTTTGAACCAAGAAAGGAAGTAGTTCTTGATTTGACCTGCTAGTTGACAAATACAACTCTACTTGTGCTGACTGACAACATACAGCTTAAGCATTGAAAAAGGTTTCAAGGAGGACTAAATGTTTGCCAGTATTTTAGGTACTTCATAGATTAAAAACAAACAAACATATAAGCTAATAATTTGTAAGCAAACTGAGAATACTATGGCTTGTTAAATGCCAGATGCAAACACTGAAAAATATTAAAATTATCTCAACTCAAGGGCGAAACAGAGAGCAGAGTATATTGTAGAAACTATGAAGGAGTTGCGGAGATTCATATCTCAGGTGGGAGACAGCTACTACTTATAAACTCCACAAGCATGGCCTTTGTAGAAGAGTGGCAACAAGACAACCCATGTTGAAAGTACCTGTCTGAATCAGCCACAAGCCATGGAAGCGACATTTAAGGAAAAAAAGTTGACGAATCCAAACAAAAAAGCTAAACATGAACAGAAAACGACACAGCACATCAACCCAACAGCATTTTCATCATAAAACATGCGTTTCTTTGGCATGGACAGAGAAGCCGTTTAAAGTTATAGAGAATATTAATGGAGCTAAGTAAAATGCAATCCTAGAAAAAAAAAAAAAAAAACATTTGCCAAAGCATGAAAAAAATACTGTTTTAGAGGTTAACAATTTAATTTTAACCTCTAAAACTGATCACATAAATAGCATAACATCCCAAAACAGTATACTGAAGGCATTGTTGTAACATGGCTAACTAAAAAAGTTAAGAGTTATGGATACTTTTTCAATCCACTATACTCGTATAGTCTCTAATATGTTATCTTGTTTCCAGCACTTTTTTTTTTTTACCTCCTGTGTAGTTCTGTGTGATTTCACTTCACAAGATACAAGCTTTTTAAGGTTTTCTTCCTTTAAGTCAACTTCCTACCTCACAGCTGGTTGACAGACACCTCTCCCCTGCTGAGCGATCATATTTAATCTCTCTTGAGGAAAAGTCTAGCAGAGGGCAAGTGAAGTAAAGCCTAAAAAGTCACAGGTGGGAACGGTGTTAAATCTAAGAACAAAGCTCATCTAAATGGGGTAAAGTGGTAAATGCATAATTAACAGTACCATGAAGTACCACGTAATGAAAGCACTTGGACTAATCCAGAAACTAATGAGTTCCATCAGCAGCCCTAAACTATGCCACTTCCTCACCTTAGGCTGAGGTGTGTTATTAAGAGCAAGCCCGTGGTGCCTGGCCTAGCAGTGGGGTTCCCTGCAAAGAGACTAATGCTAAGCAGGTCTCAGGCAGGGATGAGCCACCGAAATGCCTCAAATCAGGCAGCTGGCTTCCTAAGATTCCCCTCTCCAGTCTTTTGTTAATTAAAATAAGAGAAACGAGGCTCAGTGTAAAGGCTTAAGACTAAAACCGCCTTCTTATTAGATTAGCTGCTGATTAATGCACTAATGTAAATCAGTGAACCACGTTTCGCTCTTTCATGTTATAAACAAAACTGTTGAATTAAACAACAGTGATTATCCCACAACGATTTGAAAATACAGTGACAACTCGCTTTCTATTAATTGCAAAAAGGAGTGGAAAAATGTGTTGTGCTGCTGAATAAATTATTGCTCATCTACTCCATGCATAAGACAGTGAGTAATTGCCTTCTCACTTTTTATCAGACCGCCAAATGCACACATCCACCCCCTCCAAAAGTTTTAAATTCCAGGTGGCCATATTCTGTCTTGGCCTGTATCCTGAATATAGCACACTCTTTCTCATTAAGTTTCACATCTGTGAGTGTAGGCACTTCTATTCAGCTGCCATTTCTCCAAAGTACTTCATTAGCAGACTCTTGAGCACCGATCACTCACTCACACACACACACGCACAGGTGGACAGGTGGTCGGCTGAACACACCTTAACTTTTTATCATTCTTGCCTTCTGTCTTCCTCTTATGATTTGCCACAATTTGAAATACCAATTTGATCAATCCTCCAAGATAAAACTGAGGGGGGAAAACATCATCCAAATCCAGCGGCTGAGAGCAAACAGTGGTGGTTATTATTTTGGTGATTATGAGTAGAAGAGGAGCTTGTTAGAGAATGTGAAGATTGGGACCGACTACTCTAACTTGCACAGGGTTTCCAATTTGAGTCACATCCCTCCACACAAAAGTAGATCAGTTGGCGAGTTTTGTTGTAGAGTAAACCAAAGTTTTAGTATAACGGTTGGGCGCAGATTTTATATGCTGAAGATGTCTCAAAATTAAACTTTATATCCATGTTATAATTGCTCAGTATGGGGCTAGGGGTCCTTTTGGTAGCCAAAAAGACCCCTAGACCCCTTGAACATAATAACCCCAGAGAGACATTTGCAATGACACTCTCATTTGCTTTATCAGATCCTTTAGAAAAATGATTTTCTTCATCTTGGCCTTTAGCTTTTGCTATGACATTTGTTACTAAAACTGAATTTTAAGTATGGATAATGTATTATTTTCATAAAGTCTTATATGAAAGGCACAGGCAAGAAGAACTGGAATGTGTGGGGGCTATCAGGACAAATGAGGCAATAAGAAAATGACGCTCCACATATAGAGTATGAGAACAACTTTAGCAAAGCTGGCAATTGATTCTCTAAATTACAGCCCTCCACCTGAATGACTGAATGGATGCACAAACAAATTACTGGTTAGATCATAGTGGTTAGCACGAGATGACAGAGGATTAAAGAAAGACAGAGACAGGCAAAAAGATGCAAGGTGATTAGATTGATGCTGCGTATGTCAAAGAGCGACCACACAGAGGGACCGGCCCAAAATCTCAAAGGGGAAAATAATGGATCACAGGCTCTGTCATCTCTCACTCAGCCATTATTGCACCTCGCACTGTCTCAGTCCTTTACCTCATTCGCTCTCTTGCACGCAGAAGGAAAACACAGATATTTCTGTCACCTCCCCCAGGCATGCCAGCAAAACGTCCCTTGATACCGAGATCTGAGGATCAAAGTCAACAGGGCAGCCATGTGTGTCAGGGAAAAAAAA